GCCGGCGAGCTGCTCCGAGCCTCCCGTCCCCACTCCAGGGTCCTCCTTCCCTCGCTGCTCTTCTCCCTCCCCCGTCGCACATCTATCTGCCTCCGGCACCCCCTGCGCGGGCGGGGAGCGGAGAGACCGGGGGTGTTCCGAGCGCCGAGGCCGCTGCCGGCGGCGGTCCCGGGAGCCCAGCTGCAGGCGGCGCTGCCGCCGCCTCCCACAAAGGGCAAATTCATCTTCCACGTCCCGAGAGCGGCGGCGGAAGGGCTCCGTGCCGGGTGGGTCCCGCGGCTGCGGGGGGGAGGATCTCACTCGGTTACAAAAAAAAAAAAAAAGGCGCCTCTTGTGTTCTGGAAAATGTCGAGTTATATCACGCCAGGACGACAACTTATTACCAAGATCACCTTAAATTATTAGAAAGCGACAGTGTTTTCCTTTTCCTAATCTTCGGGTTTTCGATGGGGCTTTTTAAACCGGGGTTGCCGCTACCTACACGCAACGCGTGTGGAATTCACGAGTGCCACTTTGTAGCCCAGCTTGATGATGTGCTACGTACGAACTCCCTAGTAGAAAGTAGCGATACCCCTGGCAATGTTTTCCATTTACAATGGGTTTAAAAGTGGGTAATTGTAAATGACAGACTGCTCCAAAACCTATAGACCTGTCAAGCAGAAATTCACAGACTGAAGCCTTTAAGGTGTAAATGAATTGACAGCGTTTCTTTTTCTAAAGTGTGAATTACATAACATTTGCATAGCTCGCTGGCACATAAGCGCACTATTCATTGCAAAGCTCTCCCAAGGTAGCAGAAGGCCAGGAGCGAACATTCACCACAGGTCAGATTCTGTCCTTGCCGTATTTCGCTACAGAAACCACCCTGCGAGCAGTTCTCTGTAGAGAGAAGCACGTGGGACCCCGAGGCGAGAGCACTTTCCCATCCCTCTCCTCCGTGTCAGAAGAAGGATGCAGGAGCGTTTTACAGGGCTGTTGCCTGTGGGAGCTACAGTCATCTGTGCAGAGTTCCTAGGCTCTTCCTGGAGATCTAAATACTGGATCTAGCTAGCACTAGATCCAAGCACCTCATAAAACACATAACAGCCGCGCGTGCATTGACTGAACATACAAGTTGTAGGTTTTACCAAACAAACAAAGATGTAATTTTCAAACACTGCAGAGTAAGACTTGCCTTCATGGTAAGTGGAAGGTTAACAGAAATCGCAACACGGAGCTCAGTCTGACAACACAGCAGTGTTGCCATTCACACACAGACAGAAAAGGTGATTTTATATACTATTTTGATTCATTGTTTATCTCTGATGCTTTTTATTACTTTACAGTTTGGTTGAATTTTGCATATACTTATCCTGAATCATGGCACATATAGGGATTTCCAAAACGTAGTGAAACTGTTTGGATTGATTCATATCAATTACACATTTCATGTTTGCAAGTATTTGTATTTATAGTGAAAACATTTCAATGTTCTTAGGGCTAAGACAGATGACAAGTGTGGATGATGCAATAGCCTGCTAATACTGAAACACTTAGATGGCATATGAAAAGGGGAATGAATGCAGGATGTCAGAAGTGAGCAGGACCCCCCTTAGGAAACATTTTGCTAATCAGTTCCTGTTATCAGTCAACAAATGTAAAATATCTCGCACAAAGATACAGTGAACACTTGGAGATACTCAGCTTATGTTGTTCATCACACCATAATTTAACTGCATACTACTCAGATAGTTTTCAAGTTTCTCTTACCTTGTAAATTGTATTAATTAGCTCGTTTATCAGTTCATATTTAGATTCCCGCTTTCAGTAGCAATTAAATAACCCTTAGATTCAAAAGCCACATTCTGCTTCTAATGTTAATAAAGATGTACCTGGTATTTACACAGGACTTTTCTCAGCATTTCTTAGACTAGGCAGTTTGACATTTCTAGGAAACATGTTTTCGCGCGACTGTTACAGAGAAACTGAAGTGCATACATATATATTTATATGACTCACACAAGAACACAAAACGACAGTACTTACATTACTTAAAAGTAGCATCCCGTCATGTGTTGTTCTATTTTACTCTATAGATAACATTCCTAATGAGAGGCACTTAGTATCTACTTTGATGCAGGGCACTTTCTCTGCAATCCACAGATGACCATTTCTGTAGTTTTGCCCACAGCAGATCTGCTGTTTTCTCCACTCATGGCAGGACACTGCACTAACCAGTCACTTTGGAAACAAATGCAAGCCTGGGGTACTTTGTATACTCTGGAAAGCCCACACATCTGTTTCCAGAACCTTCTCATAGGCTGCTGTAAGCTCTGCACCAAGAGCCAATAAACATTGCTCGCTAATACAAGCTGCTCTGAAATAACTGCGAAGAGCTGTTTATATTAGTTAATAGCGGCTGGTAACCATGTCTAAAACTGCCTGGTGCACTCCAGTATACAATACAAGCTTGTAATGTATCTTCAGACATGCCAGCTGCTTCTTTTTACAGCACCTTCAAACCATTTTTCACCATTTAATTCTGTTGAGCTATGATGTCTAAGAAGCATTGATGTCTAAGAAACATACCCCTTTGATATCTAAAAGTGAGCCCCAAGTACCTCCAGGATAACTGTTTTATGGAACTGGTGTTTCCAGATGGAGCTAGCTGTCAAAACTATGAGTTTCCTTAACATTAGGATTTTGGCAGTAGAAGAACAGCCTTTCTGTGATGGAATAAGAAGCGCAGGCTGTAGGAAGAAGGTCTTGCATTAACATTTAAGAACCTCTTAGAATGACTTATCCCTTTGCAATTTGTCCTTCTTCAGGACCAACGTTTTTAAGTTGCATTTAGAACTCTTTAATACACTGTCTAAACACCTTAGATCGTGATGGCCAGTCTCTTCGCGAACGAAGAACCGGGGAAGGTCTTTCCACCTTCCAGCCTGCGCATTGGATTTTTTAGGTGAGACACAGTGTGCGCAGAACTGAGCCCACCCTTTAATCCTGAGGTTCATCTGCCGGGGCCAAGCACGCTTGGACGGTGGCAGCGAGGTCCTCAGGACGTAGATGGATTGCCTTACGGGCTAACGAGCTCCATCTGCC